CCAGGTGATCAAAGAAAATAAAGCCGCAGGGAAAGAAGAGAACAGAACGGAAGACATTGCGAGAGATCACCTACGTGTCCTTGAAGTGCTGCCTGGAAGAAAGCTGCAGAGTTTCACAGAGAGCCACCCGGGCTTTTTGCCCTGGGAGAAAAAGAAGTATTTCCAAGATCTTCTCGATGTAAGTTCCAGCCAGCCTGTTTCTCTCCCAGGAAAAGCAGATTAGCTTGGGATTGGTGACTGCATCATAAGACCAACTATCTATTTATGTGGGAGTGCCTGGGTGGTGTGCACAGTTAAACGTGCTTGGCTGCTCACCTAAAGGTTGGCTGTTGGAGTCCACCTGGAGGCTCCTCAGAAGAGGCCTAGGAAATGCAGTGTAGTACTGCTCTAAATCGGAAGTAGGTTGGCTGGCATTCCCATTGTAACGGTTTATTTCACAGCCTTAGTGTGAGTTAAGAGAGTCAGTCAGGGGCAGAGCTCCAGTACCTCCTGTGGCATGGTAGCTCATCTTCTCTTGGCAAGCCGTTGTCTCTTGCACCCTGAAACTACGGTATGCTTATGCATTCAGTTCTCACAGACATTGTTAAGTTCCAGCGATCCAGTCATTAAGTGAAAGCTGAGTCATCTAAGAGTCCATTGAAAAACAAATATTTCCATACAGAAAATTTCATCTTTCTGTAAAGTGTGTTCATATTCTTTGCCATTTTTCTTAGCCATTTAGTTTTACTTCATGGTGGCTCTGGTAGGGTTCTTTATATTTTGTATCATTAAACCAAACGTATCTCTAGTTCTTGTGCTCAAATCTCAAATGCTTTCTGCTGTGGTGTCTTTGGTAGAACTAGCGTCATCTCTCACATTTGTTTATAGGCTCACACATCTTCAAATGCTGCTTTGAAGCCTTCAAAGAATATCCAATAAACAGCGCACCACCAACACTCAGCCTTTGTTCTCAAGCTATTGTTGGTGAAGGAGACTTTCCCCCCAATCCATTTCAGTCCTGGTCTCTTGGATGCTTAAAGTTAGCGCTTATTTCATTTGCCCCTCGTGGGCCTTTACTGACTAATCACTGCCACCGTGTGTAGAGTGGTGGCTTTATCTCTCTGAACAAAATACATCCTTGTTGGGTGGCATCGAGTCAATTTCGATTCACGGTGACTGCAGATGACAGAGTAGAACTGCCTAAATGGTTTCCCAGGCTGTGCTGTCTATGGGAACAGATCACCCCGTCTTTCTTGGTGGGTTTGAACTACCAGCAGCTGAGCGTTAACATTGTGCCACCAGGATCCTTAACAAAGTGCATCACTGAGGATAAAAGCTGTGTATACATGGAATTCTCCTTTCAGGAAGAAGAATCACTGAAGACCCAACTGGCCTACTTTACGGATAGCAAACACACAGGGAGACAACTGAAAGATACGTTCGCAGATTCCCTCCGCTATGTCAATAAAATTCTAAATAGCAAATTTGGATTCACTTCTCGGAAAGTCCCTGCCCACATGCCGCACATGATCGACCGGATCGTCATGCAAGAACTGCAAGATATGTGAGTCTTGCTTGTGCCTGAGTTGCTTGCCCTTTTCTAGAGCTAAGGCAACCTGAAATGTTCATCTCTGCTTTGTTAAATGTACAGCTGCAGTATTTGCTGCCTGCGTAAATGGGAAGGGAAAATAAAATCCTGTCCCACACAGGGTGTTATAGGCGTTGTGTGCCCTCAAGTCAGTCCCGACCCATTGCGACCCCATGGGCAACAGAACACACAGCCCCCCACCCTGTGCCATCCTCGTGGTCGTTGCTATCACGGAGCCCATTGTGGCAGTCATTGCATGAATCATCTTGTTGGTGGGGCTTCCCCTTTTACGGACTTTCTGCTGGTGCCACTGTGGGTTAGGCATTGGGCTACTAACCTTAAAGACAGTGGTTCAAGCCCACTAGCGACTCTGAAGGAGACACTTGAAGCTCCCCTGAAGATTTATAATGTGGGAAACCCTGTATAGGATTGCCATGAGTTGGAACCAACTGGATGAACCAACTGGTTTGGGTCCACTTAACTAAGCCTGATGTCCTGCAGGAACTGGCCCCTGCCGACCCTATGTCCAAAGTACATGACGTTTTTGATATGTCCACAAAAGTGAAGGTTTGCCACCCTCCCTTCCCAGGAGCATTCTGGCTTTACTTCTAAGACAGGTTTATTTTCCTGGCAGCCTGTGATGTGGTCAGTGTTCTTTCCCAGCACCATAATTCAAAGGCATGGATTCTCATAAGTTTTAGGGACCACTTAGTTTTGAACCTTCAGAGTTCATTCTGTCTTCTATTTGGGCAGGTTCCCTGAAGAATTTGACAAGACATCGTTTCACAAAGTACGTCATTCTGAGGATATGCAGTTTGCCTTCTCTTATTTTTACTATCTCATGAGTGCAGTCCAGCCCCTGAATATCTCCCAAGTGTTTGATGAAGTGGATACAGACCAGTCAGGTGTCTTGTCTGACAGAGAAATCCGAACACTGGCTACCAGAATCCACGATCTGCCTTTAAGTTTGCAGGTATTGTATATACATATTTTTTTTTCTTAATCGTGAAATTTGAAATGACATTTTTTATTTGGACGGTTCTCTTTTCCCCCTGCTGATTTCAGTTCCATGTAAATGAAAATAATTCTTAGTGTTCTGTGTTTGTTTGTTTATTTACCATGATTAATTCAATGCTATAATTATAAACCAAATTTCAGGTTTGTGTTTTGTGAAATTAACCTTTTAGAGTCTTCAATGGCAGGGGTATTCTGGTATTTGGAGAAGATGTAGCATACACCTATATATAAGTCGGTATGTGGTGGAAGGCCTCATCCAGTGTGGTCAGCTGACCAGTGGAGTGCTGAGAATGAAGAGAGCCCTCCGCCTGGAATACCTTGGGACTGCCTTGTGTACAGTGGTGTCTCACCGAGCAGTATGATCCACTGTGAATCTTTGGACTGTCTCATTCTGCTCTTTTGGGGGTGTCTTAATGTTTATTTAAGAGTCATGTAGTCAAACTCTTTGAAGACAGTATTTAAACCAGTTTTGGAAACTTGTGTAATGTTTATTTTAAAGGCCATATGTAAAGGCTCAGAGGTGGCCATATCTGACCTCTTATAGATTCCCTACTGCCACAAGATAGGGGTCACTTATGCCTCTATCATAGTTTTTGTTTGTTTGACCTATTCTGACACCAACTGTTTGTTTTCCCACGGCACTCTGCGACTGCACCATTTGATAATTCATTGTAATATCCACACAGAACTCAGATGAAAGTCATAATTATGGGACTTTATTAGGAAGTGACAGGTTAGTACACGTCAGGATCAACAAACCATCAGGAGACAGTCATTGGTCTATATCAGTGCTTCAGCCAGCTTTAGCCTCTCAGCCATGTGGTCCCTGGGCCTCTGCCTCCGTGGGCCAAGAATCCTACCTGTCACTGCATTATAGTTCCATGGTCTCGATGCTTCTTCTCTGTTCCATCTCATGGTCTCCTGGCCTCAGCCTGGTTCCCTTCCCATGTCCCACAGTCTCTTTGCCCGCAGCCCCTGGTGCCTCTGGTCTGGGCCTCTGGCACTTTAGACAGAGATCTCAAACACGCCCCAGTTCCAGGGCTCCTGGATTGCTCTCTGCTTCCAAGATAGCTTTTTTCCATAGAGGAATGGTCTTGACGTGTGGCTTTTGTCTCCCATGAGATCATACACACAGGGAAACGAAGGGTGTGATTTGGTTTATATCCTCAGCTAGAGACTTAATACCCCTTAGTCCTGTGATGACACAGCAGAGGACTCCAAAATGGGGTTATACAGGTCAAGTTCAAAATTATAATACAGCACATGGGGAATTTATGACTAGAGGGCCATATTAATTGACTACATCTCAGGCCACAATCATTACTTATTCTCTTATTTTGCATTTTAGGATTTGACAGGCCTGGAACACATGTTAATAAATTGCTCGAAAATGCTTCCTGCCAATATCACTCAGCTAAACAACATTCCACCAACTCAGGAAGAGTACTATGATCCCAATCTGGTAAGTGGCATGAGTTAACTTTTTGTTAACATTGTGTTAGGTATACAATAACTTGCTGCTATTGTGTGCTATCAAAGAACTCCAACTCAAGGAGCTCAGGTACCATAGTGGGCTACTCACTGGACTGCTAGCCGCAAGGTCATCAGTTTGAAGCCTCCAGCTGTTCTCACCATGGGAGTAAGACAAGACTTTGCTCCCATAAAGCTTTATAGTCTTGGAAACACACTGTGGCAGCGAGGATGGTTTATTTTAGTGGCCCAGGTGACAGTAACTTCCCATAGGGTTTCCCTGGCTATAACCTTTACAGGCAGACCGCCAGGTCGCTCCTCCACAGAGCCATTGGTTGGGTTAGAATCTCCAACATTTCAGTTAGCAGCCCAGTGCTTAATCTTTCATCCCACCAGGGGCTCTTTTGTGTAACAACTTATCGATTGTTCTTTATACCTTTTCAGAAACGACAGTCAAGTTTTTTACTTATGTCTAGTGGAAAGTAGTAGCATAGATTATCCTGAATCACATATATCTTGCTTAGGAATATTGCTTTTCTCTCCTAATGGATTGCTCCGCTGACATTCAGATTAGTTGTTTGTATTCCATAAGTAGGTACCCTGTTCACTGAGAATGGCAGACGATAACCCCAAAGTGTTATAAACGGCCTGGGAGAGTCATCTTAGGGCTAAGTATTAACCAAGGAAATAGTCATCAGATGAAATCCTATCTTTTCTTTGTTTTGTTGCCTGGATTTTCCTGATGTGTCCAGAAGGGGGCAGTGGATAATTTTCTGTCGACCACACAGGGAGCCCAGTGGCAGAATGATTAAATGCTTGGCTGCTAGCCAGAAAGGTCCAAGTTTCAAACCCATCAGCCGCTTGCCAATCTGCTCCTGTAAAGGTTGCAGCCTAAAAACCCCACCGTCTAGTCCTCCTCTGTCTGGTAGGGTTGCTGTGGGGCTGAATTGACTCTCAGACACACAGCAGCATTGGGGTGCCACCTGGCTGAAGTGATTCAAAAGCTGTTCATCCTAAGATGCACCCCAATTTCAGAAAAGTTAAAGTGTAAAAAACTTGAATATTAGAATTGCTGAAACAAGGGTATGATATAGTCATTTACATGATGCTTCAGTTAATTTTTATTGAGATACAGAAAAATGCTTACAAAATAAAATTAGGGTAGTAAAAAAATGGCATTTCGTTACTGGCATGATCTGAATATAGACAATCCCCAAACATACATGAAAAGGGAAGAGGCATGGTAAGTTAAATCAAGGGTAAATGTTAAATCACTTTTTTCTAAGGCTGCCATTTGGGGTACATTATGAGATGGATAACAGTGCTTGTAAAATCAATACTGATTGCTATGAATCAGTAGGTCTGGGAGTAAGACTAGGACAGGGTTGTTGGTTCAGGGTCATTGTCACTTAAAACTAATACTGATAACAGAAGAGCAGCTCAGCAGCAGAAGCCAGCTCAGGTGTGGCCTCGGTGCTTCTTCCAGATCTCTGGCATAGTCCAGTGACATTAAGATACTTTGGTTATGAAACTCCAGAGTACTATATGAATCTTAATCGTCATTTATCAGTATGTTTGTAATGAATAAAAGGTACATATGTAATCACAATAAGTTTTTTCCCTTCCTGCAGAGAACAGAATCAAAGTTTTTTTAAAAAATATATCATCATCAGATGAAATAGGTTGAAGAACCTTTAATTATAAGATTTTTAAACTGAAGTTAACAGAGTAATATAATCCATCAGCTGTAGATCATGCATATGCAGATGATCTGGTTTAGATATCTTCACCACCACTCCTCCAAAGTTCACATATTTGTCAAGAAAACCACTTCTCTTTGTTGTCAGGGATCTGAGGGCGTTCTACCTCCTTCAGGGGGAAAGTAGGCCTTGGTGAGCCCTCGGCTGCCCTAACCTGCCTTTCCAACCTTCTGCCTAGTGGAAGCCCCACAGCTGGCTAAGACAGGAGGGAGAAAGGAAAAAGGATATGGGGCTCCCCTCAGCTTTTCTTCCTAAACAGCAGTCTTTACTTTCTTCTGGAAAGTATAGCAGTTATGCCAAAGGTCACCTAAGTCCTCAAGTCCAGTGAGCCATTCTTGGCAGCCCATTTCCAGCTCTCTCTCAAGACTTCTCTTGCACACATCCCCTGGTGCAGCACCTGTCTCTCTCCTCTGCTTCCTTCCTTCCTCCTTTTGCAGGAGTCATTCGTCTCTGACACCGCAGTTAGCACTCCCACCTTACCCAGAGCTTGCAAAGGTGTGTTCTTTTCTGAGGAAGGTGATATCCATGTATAAAACAGTCACCCACCTTGCTTTGTTAAAAACATGAGAGATTACTGAGAGGTTTTAATTGCCCATCTTCCCACAGAATATTTTAGCATTTTCCAGATTTCTGGAATGAGATTAGAATTAGCCATTGCCCTTTGAGAGCTGAGAAATAAGCGAAACTGCTTTGCTATCAGTTAAAAGTTGGTGTTTTGAAGCTCATGCTATAAACTCTAAAGCTGTTAATTACACAGAGCTATTAATTACACTGGCATCATTAGTTAACATTGCTCAAGTGAACTCTTAGCTTAGCCAAGCTGTTGGTTTTGTTGTAATTAACGGTTGCATATAGAGTAAAGAACATATTTCCAAATGATATTGTAAGAACCACAAGTTAGTTGGTATAATGTAGGCCATTTCATTATCTCTTGTGTTAGAAATTTATTTTATTTCTGAAGAAGATTATAAGAGTGACTACAAGACTTTTTTTAACGTATAATGTGGGGTATCCTGTTATTGGAGTCCCTGGTTGGTACAAGCAGTTTGAGTTTAACTATTAACTGAAAGGTAGAACGCAATGTTTTACACTTTATCCCGGATTAAAGGCTGTAGCACAAAAGTTTTTAATTGCCAGGGGACAGTAGGCCAAAAATATTTGGGAACCTGTAGGGTGGAGGCCCAAATCCATTTCAGTGACCCTTTGAAAGAAAGGTCCGATGGTTAGCTTCCATAAAGATTATAGCTAAGAAAACCCTGTGGCGCAGTTCTGCTCTGTAACTCATGGGGTCCCCGTGAACTGGAATTGGGGGGATGTGTGATTAAAAGAAAATCTGTTTACAAAACTAGTGGCCAGCTTGTACACTGTATTAGGCCAGCAGATTTTATACTTTTAGAAATACTGCCTTAACGTACCATTTATCTTGATTACTGAGCTTTTTTTGTTGTTTGTTCTTTCTGTACTCCCTTAAATTTTGTACCTGAGGTGAGTGACCTCCCTTCACTCTAGTCCTGACTCTGATATGATGTCTGATCAATTTGAATTTTCTCACAGCCTCCGGTCACTAAGAATCTCTTTATCAACTGCAAACCAGTGACCGATAAAATCCACAAAGCATATAAGGACAAAAACAAATACAGGTAAGTAATATACATATTCTCTCTGTTCACGTCCATAATAATTATAGGGTTCTGGCGTTTTCATAATTTTACAATACTCTATCTATTAAGAACTCCTTTAAAAATTACTTAAGATAGTTTTCATGGCCAACATGGAAATGCCAAAGTAACTCTGGGTGTCGAGTCTACTGGAGATTTAAAAAGTTGTTATCTTCTCCATTGAATGTTTTGTTTGTTTGTTTGTCTCCATATAAACATGCACTCTTTCCACCTATTTTGATTACTAGGTTTGAAATCATGGGAGACGAAGAGATTGCATTTAAAATGATCCGCACCAATGTTTCCCATGTGGTTGGCCAGTTGGATGACATAAGGAAAAATCCCAGGTACTAGTTGCTTTTGCTTGTTTGTTTTTAAATTATGTGTAATTTTCCAAATAAGCAGCAATAAAGGGCAGCAGAACCAGAGAGCAGAGAGAAATCCTTTGTCTGTTCAGAGCAGGTGGGAAAGCCTAACAGTGGAGGGAACGTGAGAGCTGGATGTGAGCAAGAGTTCAGTGTCTGGGAGAGGGAAGGGAATCCTGTGTGCAGAAATCAGCTCAGCCCTGGCTTTCCGTTCTTTCTGGTGTATACACACAGGAGTGGAAGTGCTGGGTCTTATGGTAGAGCTGGGTTGTGCATTCTGAGGAACTGCCAAACTATCTTTGGAGGTCTTTGCAATACTTAACTGTTCTCTCCATTCTGTCATGGTTGATGGAGCGGTAGCTGTGTGTGGGGGATTTGATGATCATATTCCTTTGTGCCCTGTACTTTGTCTTTGTGTCAGTTTGGAAAGTCGCTGGGATGACAGAATCTGTGGACATGTTCATGGCCTGTGGAAGGACATGGTGAGGTGGCTTCACCAGCAGTGTCAGCCAGGCCTGGCCACCTGTGTGTACTTCAAGTGGTTTGGCTAAGTTTCACTCTTTTCTTGTGTGTGTACTTTGCTTGGAGACCTTTATAAGTTAGGAGCAGAAACCCAAGCCTCTCACTGGATAATCTGTAAGGACGGGCCTCACCCACCAACAAAGGGCCTGGGATTAATCTTTGCTCTCGTAGTGCCTTCAGCTCTCCTGCCCTGAGGTTCTCTTTGACTAGTTAGGGGCTACTGCTGAGATTGGGATGGGGGTGTTGCCTGCTCTGAGTCAGATCAGAAGCAGAAAAAATCTGATCAAAATGGAAGTTCTCTTAGCAAGGAAGGATGAGGGAGGACAACAGGTTCTCAGCAGTGTCAGCACTAACTACCCTCGGCCCCACATACCCTTTCTCTCATTCATAGAATTTGAATTAAATGTTCCTCCCACTTAGGGAGGAGAAATAGTACAGTAACCCCGTAGCTCAAGTTTTCTAAATGTCAGCGTTTTGTCATATTTATTTTCTGTATCTATGTGCATGCCCCTGCTGGCACCACTTAAAAATCTTATTTCCTGAGCCTTTTGAAAATAACCTGTGGTTACTCACTTACTTCCTAGTTTATTATTTTAGCACAAATCGTCCAAAACAGAGACAATCTGCTTTAAAACAGACCACTGCCACACATTTTTAACATTTGATTAAATAATACC